CGCAGCGAGCTCCGGCCTCGTCTCAGGAGGGAGCCGCTCCTTTGCCCCAGAGCGGCAGGCATGGTCCGGCTGTCCCTGCCCCTCCGTGGCTCCGCTGGAGGAGGGCATCCCCAGGCTGACCCCTGGAAGGCCGGGAAGCCAGGGACAGCAGGGACCGAGCGCGGGGAGGGTGTGAAGGGGTAGGCAGAGCGCGTGGGCAGAGGCGGGGAGGAGCAGCGCCGCGGTGCTTGGGGTCCGGGAAAGGGGCCCCGGGAGGCAGAAGGGACGGGAAGCTGGCTGGGCACAGGGCAGGGCCTGGAGCACTCGGCCTTGATCCTGGTGGCGACTGGGAGAAGTCACGCTGCTGCATTTCTCCCGGGGGAGCAAGGCAGGCCCTCCCTCCGGGGCTTGGAAAGACCGTGGTCCCCGCTGTGTTCTCAGAGGGGCGCCTCCCCTTGCCCTCCACGCGCAGTGCCCGGAGAGCAGGCTCGGGCTAACGCAGGCTGACTCGGCACCGGCCAGGCAGGGGGGCAGAGGGGCGTGGAGCAGTCACCTGTAGCCTGTGAGAGTCTCTGCTCTTCAGAAGCCCCTGCTTCCTCCTCCCGCGGGTCTTGGCTTTAGGCTCCTCCCCTACTACTCAGGCCCCGGGGGAGCACAGCCCCCAAACCAGGGGCCCCTCACCGTGCCCCCAGCCTCTTCACCGTGATCCCTCAGCCTCCAGGTTAATTAACCCGGGAGAAGGGGAGCGACTAGTGTCCACGGGTTGGGGCGGGGGGAGCAGGTGGCAGTGGCGAACAGCAGCACCGAGCCCCCCGACTGGGGATCCTGTGGGCTGGAGGTTGGGCTCCCGGACCTTCAGAATCTTCATCTGTGATCAACATGCTTCTCCCATAACCTATAGTATGGAAGCTCAGATCTATAGGAATCCTGGGTCCTCCCTGCCCCCCCCCAGCCCAGCCTCATCCCACCGTGACCTTGGGGTGCAGGTTAACTTCAGTGGCAGCGACCCTTGGGGCAGGTGGCCCTCCTGCGGCTTGGCTTGACCACGGGGTGTGATCTAGAGGGTAGGGCTGATGGGGGGAGGGGGCAAGGACCATTAGTTTGGGATTTTGTTCGGTTGCTTTTTCTGTTGTTTTCCTTTAAGTTCCCTGGTGCAGCCCCCCACCCACTCAAATCTCCTGGGCACCCTCCAGGGTCCTTCCCGGGCCAGGCTCTGCAGCACCCGAGCCTCACCCAGGCCATGGCAGGTGTCCCGGAGGCCTGGGCTCTCAGCATCTCACAAGCGCTTGAGTCGAGCAGAACAGAGAAACTGGAGGAAGTGCTGCCACCTCCGCCCTCCTCCAAACCTGGCAGCAGACCCGCCCTGAGAGGCTCCAGGCAGCTGCTCGAGACCCATCAGGGGGGTCGGGGACCAGGCCGCAGCACAACCTGAGATCCCTGACTCTGACGGCCACCTGGCGCCGTCTTGGACCTGCCAGGATGCACTGGGCCCCCTGCCAAATGTCCACGCTTCTCCTTGTGTGTTTCCCGCACCTCCGAGGGTCCGCGAGAGAGTGACCAGGATGAGCCCGTCGTGACCCACTCAGTGCCTGGGCCGTCATCCGATGGACCCGGCCCTCGTCACCCAGCGGCCCAGCTGTCCGGACCTCATGGTGCGCTGTGCGCGCCAAGTCAGTACATACGCACTTTTGCCCGCATTTACGCGTATTTAACAGTCGCGTTTCACAGCAGCCTGCATGCACACTCACACGTGTGTGCATCCAGAAGCATCTACCCCGCACCCTCCACGTGTCCGGCCCCGGACGTGGGGATGCGGTGGCCGGCGCTGGGAGCTGAGTCGTGAAAGGAAGACAGATGGCATTTGTTTGCAGCGTTCTGCCTTCCGAAGGGTCATATCCTCACGATTTGGGCGCCAAGCGGGGCCATTCCGCATTCCTTCTGGTTTCCGGACCAGGAGCGATGGCTGAAATGCTTTTTCTTTCTTCTTTCCTTTCCGGTGCCAAGAGCCTCGCCTGCCCCAGCCAGCCCTGGCTGGCCCTGCACAAGGACGCCGCTCTCCTTGGCAGCCTGGCCTAGACGCCGGCTGGATGTGCACAGGGGCTCGGGGAAGGGTAGGCAAGAATGGAAAAGAAAGGCCAGGGAGGAACCTGGGAAGCGGTGGGGGGTCTGCACCCTCGGAGCCCCAAGCCAGCGCTGCCCGCTGGCACAAGCTCCTCCTGGCGCCGGGCAGCTGAGCAAAGGCCGGCCTCTGCATGCACCCAGCCTTTTGTAGGAGCGCAACACAAAGGAGAGGCAAAAACACCTCTTCTGTTTTGACGGAGGAGGCTGACAACTCCAGGAAGCCTGGGCCAGCCAGGAACTTCCACAGCCCAGCTGATGAGCCTCTGCAAGCGGCCGCTCCATTTCTCTCTAATGTTGTTGCTGTTCTAATGTTTCGCTCTAATGTTCGCTATTGCCTCCTGTGGGTGGGAACAGGGGGACCTGGGACCCTCCCAGGACGTGCTCACCAGCCGCTGGGCCGCACGACCTGGGCAAGTGCAGGAGGGAAGCGCCCTGGCTGGGCTCCAGCTTCCGGTTACTCCTTGCGGGGGCAGGAGAACTCGGAGACCGCAAGTTGTGTCCAGCGACCCATGTGCCCCGGGCCAAAGGAACCCAGGGAAACACAGTCCGCCCCCCGGGCAACTCTCAGGCGAACAGAGGGGGCTGGGGGAGGCTGCCCGGAGAAGAGGCCTGCAATCCAGAGCTGCCACCCCAAGCTCTGGGCACGGAGAGGGAGAACCGCGAGGTGACGCTGCCCAGCCCCAGAAAAGCCGCTGCTGCCTCCTCGGCTCGGTGGCACGGGGCTAGGATCTGTCCTTATGGGCATCCACGCGGGAACCTGGTGAGGAAGCCAGTCCTGCCTCCAGACTTGTCCTCCCAGACTCTGAACTCACGCTGTTCGGGGACAGGTCCCGGCTCCTGCACCGGGGCAAGCGTGCACAGGACCCCAGACCGCGCCCTCCCGCGGACCGCGAGGCGCAGGACGGCCAGGGAGGGCAAGCAACAAAAGAAGGAATTGGGGCTCTGTGACACGTGCCACCGGCGGGCTGGACGAACCGCAGCGGCTGAAAACCAGCGCGGGCTTGTGCCTGCCTGTGTTTATTAGGTACCCCGGCTTGCGCACAAGCCCACACCCCAGCTGGTGGCCCAAAGCACACCCCCCTCCACGAATGTCCTCACTGCGGGTGGCCCCGGAGGCCCAGAGGAATGATTCTCCAATAGCTGAGCTCTTCCTGCTCCCCACCCCCACTCCCTGGGCTCCTTTCTGTGACAGATTATCCTAATTGAGCGGCTGTGGGCCATCCTTCTCAACCGTTGGAGGACACAGCCCCAAGCTTCAGTTCCTCGTGTATTAAATACATATTTAACGGACAGGTGCCGAGCCAGCTGGGAGACACACGGGTTAGAAAATAATGCTCCAGGAGGGACGAGGTTGGGGCTTTCTAGCTTAACCTCAGGGGGCAAGGCTTGTGCTGAGAGGGAGACTGTCGGTTTCCTTTCGTCTGTGTGCATTTTGTAACTTTGCTAACTTGAAGGCAAATTGCTTACTATGTTTATTGGCTCGCTTGCTTTGAAAAAAAAAGCCTTCGGTGCTAATTAAAAGTTCCCAGACAACGGAAGTAACCCGACGACGGCCGCATGCCCTGGGCACGTCTGTGGGTGTGTGGCCTCAGGGCCTGCGGCCGAGGCTCCAGCGACACCCGCGGTTCAGACGCGAGAGACTCAGCTCCAGGAGAAGGAGAGAGCGGTGGGCGGCGCCCCCGCGGCAGGGAGTCCGGACGCGGGCAGACGTCTGCGGTCCGGGCACCGCGCGGCAAGGGCCGGCAGTCCTCCCCCGCAGCTGCAGGCTCCCTCTCCCCATGTGCACATCTGCGAAATGGGTGAATGCGCCAGTGCCCCTGAGCGGCCTCAGGCGCTTCTCTAGACCGGGTTTGATTTCTCCTGGTCACGGGCGTCCGTGCCTCGGCGCCAGGCTGCACCTGGCAAGGCGTGCGGGGGGCAGGCGGCCGCGGGCCGTGGTTCTGGCTGCCTGGCTCGCAGCGCGCGGAAGCTGTCGCCCAGGCCTGAGACCGCTTTCCGCAGACGGCCCCGCGTCGCCCGCCGCCCTCTGTCGCGGTGACCAGCAACACAAAGGTGGCGCTGAAAACACAGTGCAAATACATGCAGGGTGGGCGCGCCTAACTCCGGGTTCGCCTCTGCCCTCGTGGGAGCGAGTTCTGCGCGGAAAGAACTCGTTCCCGGGTCGGCGCCGGTCCAGGTGCCCACTCCGTCTTTCCACGCCCCGCGCTTTGCAAGACCCGCCACCAGCGGGGGGCGCTCCCGGCCGCCTCCTGGATGCGCTCTTGGAGCACGAAGAAAGTACGCGCTTTGTGCAGGGTTGTCGTTTCCTGGGGGCTGCAATGATGCCCACGTTTTGATGAAACCCACGGCAGAGAACCGACAAGGTGGGGGGAGAGGTGAGAGAGAGAGCGCGCCCAGCCCCCCGCGTGCATCCCAAAGGACCTGCCCGCGTTGGGCATCAGGCTAGTTTGCCTGCGGAGCTCCCGTCCCACCCCATCCCCCAGCCCAACTGGCTGGCCACCGTATTTTCAAACAAATTTGACAACGTTCCCTCTGGCGCGCGGTCCCGACAGCCACAAGCCCCCTGCGCTCCCCCGAGAGCCTGAGCTCCCTCCCCTCGCCTCCCACAGCCGCCCCCCCGGCCCCTCCCCCAGTCCCGCCCCAAGAACCTCCACTGAGGGCGCCCATTGGCTGGGCACGGGGAGGAGGCGAGTGCCGGGCGCCGCGAGTTTCATTGAGCGGAATTAGCCCGGATGACATCAGCTTCCCAGCGCCCCCCCTCCGCGGGCCCCGCTCATTGGCGCTGCGGCCCCTCCAGGACCCGCACATTGTTCCCCGCCCCCGCTTCGGCCACCACCGCCGCGGTCGCCGCCGCCGCCGGACTATAAAACCCGGCCGAGCCGGGAAAGGTGCGGATGCTTATTATAAGACCGCCGCGCCCTCCGCGCCTGGACTCGGGTTCCCCACGGCGGCTTCTGGGAAGGAGCTCCGCCGGCGGCGTCCACAGTAAGTGCCCCGGCCGCGCAGCCCCAGCCAACATCTCCGGGGCAGATGCCCCTCGACTCCGCGGAGACCCGGGTCGCTTCCATAGAGGGTCCCCGAACCCGCCCCTGCGCTCCAGTTCTCCGCAGCGGGTTCCCTGCTCCGACCCACCTCGCGCTCCCCGCAGCGTCCCCTTCGCCCGCAAACGACGAGTCGGGGCGACCACAGCTCCTTCTGCCCCAGTGCTAGTCAGCTGGCAAGTCCCGCGCGGCGCCCGGGCGCAGCGCACGGAATCTGGGCCCCAGGCGGGCGCTGCGAGCGTGTGTGCGCTCGTGTTGGCTCCGCAGTGCCGGTGGAGATAAGGTGGATGCGTTTGAGGAACCAAAATAAATACTTCTCTATTTAGGTCTCACGCTCCCCAGAGAAAAACCTTCACTTGCCGCTTGTTTACTCCAACCCTGGAGATCCTGCCTCCCCATTCCTAGCTGAGGGCGTAAAACCTCTTGAATGCCACCCTCACCGAGGGGCATCCGCAGCTCCCTGGAATGAAACAACCTGTGGGTGAGAGCGCAGAGGAGGTTGCGGGGGAGGGAAGGAGCGATTACTTGCGCGTACCTGCGTGCCCCTAGAAGGCAGGCCGGAGAAGGCGAGGTGGGCGCGCGGCGACCGGCCGCCGGAGCCGAGCCTGGACCCCGCGCTGCCGCGCAGGCGGAGCCGCTTTTCCCTCTCGCTGGCTTCGCTTCGTTCTCGAGCTCTCTTCTGTTTCTCCTCGTCTCCGTAGGAGGCGTGCGTGGAAGCTCGGAGGGCCGAGGGAGGGAGGATCCTGCGAGCGCCGCGACTCCCCCTGGGGCCATGGACTCGGACGCCAGCTTGGTGTCCAGCCGCCCGTCCTCGCCGGAGCCCGATGACCTTTTCCTGCCGGCCCGCAGCAAGGGCAGCGGCGGCAGCGGCTTCACAGGGGGCACCGTGTCCTCGTCCACGCCGAACGACTGCCCGCCAGAGCTGAGCGCCGAGCTGCGCGGCGCCATGGGCGCGGCGGGCGTGCACCCCGGGGACAAGCTGAGCGGCGGCGGCGGCTTCAAGTCGTCCTCGTCCAGCACCTCGTCGTCCACGTCCTCGGCGGCCGCATCGTCCACCAAGAAGGACAAGAAGCAGATGACGGAGCCTGAGCTGCAGCAGCTGCGCCTCAAGATCAACAGCCGCGAGCGCAAACGCATGCACGACCTCAACATCGCCATGGACGGGCTGCGCGAGGTCATGCCGTACGCTCACGGCCCGTCGGTGCGCAAGCTCTCCAAGATCGCCACGCTGCTACTGGCGCGCAACTACATCCTCATGCTCACCAACTCGCTGGAGGAGATGAAGCGCCTGGTGAGCGAGATCTACGGCGGCCACCACGCCGGCTTCCACCCCTCGACCTGCGGCGGCCTTGCGCACTCCGCGCCCCTGCCCGCCGCCACCGCGCACCCTGCGGCCACCGCGCACGCTGCGCACCACCCGGCGGTGCACCATCCCATCCTGCCTCCCGCCGCCGCCGCTGCTGCGGCGGCGGCGGCGGCGGCCGCCGTGTCCAGCGCTTCCCTGCCGGGCTCCGGGTTGTCGTCTGTCGGCTCTATCCGGCCCCCTCACGGCCTGCTCAAGTCCCCGTCGGCTGCGGCGGCAGCCCCGCTGGGGAGCGGGGGCGGCGGCAGCGGCGGCGGCGGCGGCTTCCAGCACTGGGGCGGCATGCCCTGCCCCTGCAGCATGTGCCAGGTGCCGCCGCCGCACCACCACGTGTCGGCCATGGGCGCCGGCAGCCTGCCGCGCCTCGCCTCTGACGCCAAGTGAGCGGCCCGGGTCGGCGCGTTCTGGAGAGCCGGGGCCCGGAGGCTGCGGGGAGTCGAGGACTGGCTGGCGCTGGGCCTGGCAGCTCAGCTCGGAGGAGGAGCGCGGGGCCGTGGGCTGGGGGTGGGGGGCGCTGCGCGGACTCCAGCCCTCCCGGGGGCGCACTGAACGGCGGGAGGGAGGACATTCGCTCTGGGACCCGGTTCGACCCTCTTTGGCTTTAAACAGCACAGGTCCGGTAGACACCATGGAATCAGAAGACACCGCTATGTGCGCCCCTCCCCCAACACCCCCTTTCCCCCTAAAAGAGAAGAGTCTAAGAACTGGTTTGCCGGGGAACTCGGCCTCGCTCCGCCCGGGGTGCACGTAGTTCCATGGGGGAGGGGTGTTGGGCACTTCCTCCCCTGCTCCTTTCTGTACGGGTTGGGGACGCTGGAGACCAGCACCCCCGGAGCTGCCGCAGGCTCACCTTCCAGGGTCGTCTCTGACCCGAGGCCCGTTAGTTGGAAGCTGACGTTCGGTACCAGAAGCACTTAGAGCGGTGGCCAGTGGCGACCGCTGGTAAACCCACAGCCCTCTGAGAACTGCTGCGGGGCCTCCCTGTCGCTCATCCTGGTTTAGGGTGTGTGGTCTCCTAATCCATCCGAGTTCCTTTTTCAACAATAGAAGCACGCTTTAGAGAGATCGGAACAGAACCACTTGTGGATTGAAGTCACCCAATGCTGTCGCCTTGGGGAACTGGTGTTTTTTTAGTTATTTTAAAAGAGGATCCCCCACCCCACCCCATTCTTTCCGTCTCTGAGCACAAAGTGATGGGGTTCCTGGCCAGATCGGGGGCAGCCTTGGTACCGGAGGGCTTGACGGAACTCAGAGGCTGTTGCTGTGAATAGAGCTTGGGTTTGGGGGGATTCTGTTGGCTTTTTAATTTTTTCTTTTTTGGATGTGTAAATATAATCTCAGTAACGAGGTGAGTGCGTGCTGCTAAAAGGTATGCTCACGTGACCGCCAGCCCTCCCGGAGTCTAAGCCGAGTTTCCCTCTGTCCGTTTCTTTTTGCCACTTTTAACACAATGACAAACTCTTCACCGCGCTTCTGCATCCTTGCTGCCCGCCTCGCTGCCTGCGCTGCGATTCGGCTCCACAGCGCCTGCCCGGTAACATCCCTTCTCTGACCGCGACCCCTCGCAGAGAGTGTATCATCTGTTTTATTTTTGTAAAAAGAAAAAAGTGCTAAATAATATTTATTACCTGTTTGGTTGCAAAAGAAAAAAACGAAATAAATGATCGAGTGTTGCGATTTTAAATAAACGTTACTCGGGTGTTTTCCAGCCGTGGGGCTGGGACAAGGGTGGCGTGGGCGGGTGTGGGGTTCCCTGCCCCGGGCGGATCTGGGGACCGAGGGGAGCCAGCTCTTGCAGTTCCCTTCCTCTAGCCGTCCTCCCTCCCGCACGGTTTCTCCCCGCTCCTCACTGGGTGTTTTTATCTCCTGGCGTCTAATCCGGAACCCCCTCTTCGCTGGAGGTCTGAGTTAGCTGAAAGTGGAATCTTCGAGCCCTGCCGGGGGTGCTTTGGGGAGTGGGGACGTGGGCCAGAGCCTTCGGCTGGAGCGCCAGGCGCCGGGGCCTCCTGCCCTGCCAGGATTTTAGTTTCCCTCCGATCAGGGGCCTCGCCAGCCCGCGCCCGCCGGGGAAGCTGCGCTGGCATCAGCCGCGCACCAGCCCCTCAGGGTCCCCGACCCTGAACGTTTAGTGCGGGGTCCACGCACCCTTCACTCCCCGCTGGTATGGAGGACTCTCCCGCACACCAACCTTGGCCTTGAACTGAAATGTGTCATGTGCTGGGAACTCCAGCAGAGCTCGGCTGGGGCCACCTCTGTTTTCTTGCCGCCCCTGGGTCCCTCGCTGCAATCTGTAAGGGCAGCGCAAGTTTAGGACGTAGCCCAGAAGAGGGAGTCTGGCTGGAAATGAAAAGGCTCCCGCAGAGGTGGGGGACAGGCGCGCTGCAGCCCCGGCTGGGGAGCGCTCGCCCCTGGAGGCCCACGGCCAGCGCGGTGCCGCCGGCCGGCCCTCTCCTCCACGGCATCCTTGGGGCCACTGGGCGGAAGACCCCTGCACCTGGGGCCGGAGCAGGTTTTTCTGGCTGGAACCCCATTTCTTGAGGTTGGCCCCGGAGCCAGGCCTCGGGAGCTCCCTTGTGCAGGACCGAGGGCAGCCCTGGCTCCACGCCGCAGGCCCCGGCAGGTGCCTCCGGGGCTCCAACAGGTGGAGCCCTGCTGCCGGCCAGAGCTGTGGGCGCCCAGGGCCGGGGGGCCGTGGGGGCCGTGGGGGCCGTGGGCCGGGCAAGGCTTTCCTTTTCACCAAGACCGGGCGAGGCCCAGAGGCTGCGATGGGTGTGGGGGGGGACGAGGGCCCACGACCCAAGTGCAGCCAAAAAATCCCGGAAGAGACAGGGCAGGGTCTAACAGTTTTATTCCAAAATCCCGTCTGAGAGGAAACTTGCCAAGAATTCAAAACTGCGTTTGGCCCCAGTCACAGACCCGGGGGAAGGAGAAGAAGCTGGAACTGGGCGGGGGCGGGGGCAAGGGGGGGGTGGGGGTGAAGTTTCGGCCGGCTGTGCCCACGCGAGGCTCCGCCAGGGCTCGGCGTGTGAGGGCTCCGGCCGCGCGCCATGTGTGCACGCACAGGCGCTTCTATCAGAAGCGAAAACGGAAGCTCCCACCACCGCCAAGGCCACCGCGGCCATCAAGCTCTCAGCAGGACCAGCCACCCGCCAGGACCGACTGGGTCTCCAAGGAAGGAGGGGCTGGACCCAGCCCGGCTCTGGCTCTCCCCAGCCGCCCTCCCCGCCCACCCTGAGCGCCCAGCCGGGGATCTCGGCCACCAGGGCTGAGAAAGTATCGTCCCAGGACGCCGAGGAGGCACACTCCCGCACACGGGAGCCCGCTGGGCCCCCCAGGGCAGGTGGCTCCTCGCTGAGGGTGGCCCCAGGCTGGCGGGGGCGGGGGTGGAGGGCGCGGGCCCGCGGCTGGGCTGCAAGCAGGCGGGAGCCAGGGAAGGCCCTGTGCAACCACTTTGATGAGGGACGGCCAGAACTGGGGGGGGGACCCCCACTGCAAAGAGGAAGTGCCAAGGGCTGCAGGGCTCCCTGCGGGGGCCCGTCCCTGGGAGCTCAGTCCCCAGTCAGTCCCTGAGGTCTTCTCCTGCGCTGGCCAGCAGCTTCCCCACCCCCAAGGGGGCCCTGGGTCCCCAGATCCTAGCCCAGGTGGGGACTTCTGTCGACCAGCCCCCAAGGCCTGTGCAATTATCCCCAAGCTCCTCAGCCCCGCCTCCCCGCAGAGCTGGGCTGTCTGGAGCTCGAAGGGCAGAGCCTCCTGCACAACCTCAGCACCCAGCGTGCTGCCTTCGGCTGCCCTTCCCGGACAGGAGTCGCCAACGCCGCAGCTGGAACTCCCCATCTCAGGGGCCGCAGACCCGCAGACCTAGTGTGTGCGCGAACAGGTGGCTGAGACCCCAAGGTGTCACAGGCTAGCAAGCCCCATGTGGCCCAGGAAAACCTAGGTACGAGGGACACAATGAGGACCTGGGGCCGTCCTCGTCCCAGGCTGGGGCCCGTGACCGCGAGGGGCTCTTTAAAGGGGGTGCAGGAAGGTCTGCCGGCCCCCCTTCAAGGCAGGGCCCACAGCGCCCTCCCTGAACCCCCCACGGAGGAAATGCCTTGATGCCCCTGCAAATTCCCCTAAGGCAGCGATTTCCCACCCGATGGCCGATGCTGCCAGGATTTTTAAAACCTGCGACACCTGACGACGGAGCCAGGGCACTGGCCTCTTTTCCCTTAGATGGGCACGCGTAGAGGAGCCAGCAGCCACCACAGCAGCCGTCCGGTGGGATGGATCGGAATTCGCGTGCCTGTTTTCCCCGGACTTGGGTGGCGTGCTGCAGGGCGTGAGTGCCGGGGTTACGCGTGCCCTGATGTGGAAAAGGTGGAAAATCGCTGCTCTAGGCAAAGGAACTCCCCTCCCAAGCCCCTCTTTCGTTTTAAGTCCCTCCTTATCACAGACTTTGGGCCAAGTTCCCCAGCCCCACAGACACCAGTGGGGATTGTGGGGTCTCTGACAGGCCACCTACACCAGGGGACTCGCTATGACAGGTCCCCGCATCATCGCTGCACACCTGCGCGCAGGGCCGGAGTCAGGCCTGGCCGTTCACGAGCAAGCGGCTGCCGCACGGGATCCCGCACCCCAGCCCCGCGCGGGGACTGCGGGGCCGCGGGGGCAGCCACCACTCCTCGCTGGAGGCTGCAGGCGCCTCTGCCGCAGCCCCTGGGGCTAAGCCCCCTCCCTGCCGTCATCCCAGGCGGGGCAGAGGTGGGAGTCACCCCCACGCAGGTCCCCACGGGGCCTGTCTCTCTCTCAGGGGCTGTGTTTTTGCTGCGGGGCCGCGTGGATCGGCCGCGGGTTGACGGCGGGGAGGGCGCTGCCGTAGGACCCGGGCGCAGGGCTGGGAGGCCGGCGGCAGCACGGCCCGCGCCCTGGGGCGTTCGGGCCCTAATGGCCCGGAGGAGGCACCGCGATGCCTGAGGCGGGCGGGTAGGGCCTGCGCAGGGCGCCGCGTGCTGTCCGTCCGTTCGGTTCTCACGGTATCACCGAGTGGAGGCTGTTACTCTCGTCCCGCCTGACAGGTAAGGAAACCCAGGCCCCGAGTGGGTGAGTGCCCTGCCCCCATGTTGGAGGCTGGAAACGGCGCGCAGGGGCGGGGCGCAAGGTTGTAGCCCCATCGTCCCCCGGAGATGGCCCCATGCTCACCTGGGCCCCCTGCGCCCCGCGGTCCCCAGACGCTGGCTCCGCTGCCACCCTCAGTGACACTGCTTGTGCTCCCGCTCCACGCCTGGACCTCTTCCGCCCCCGAAGCCCAGGCAGGGCGGCGGGCGGTGCCACAGGCTTCGGCAACGAGGGGGAGGATGGTTCGGGGCCGGGGAGCTGGGGAGGGAGGACCCCGGTGCCAGGGC